TGGCGCACGCCTTTAATCCCAGCACTCGGGAGGCAGAGCCAGGCGGATCTCTGTGAGTTCGAGGCCAGCCTGGTCTCCAAAGCGAGTTCCAGGAAAGGCGCAAAGCTACACAGAGAAACCTTGTCTCAAAAAAAAAAAAGAAGAAGAACTGTCATTTGTTTGGAGGCAGGCAACAAATGAATAAATCTTGCTTTTAACCTAATCTTTTTGTCTTTATTTTTTGCCTAGGGAATTAATATCCTTCATAATCAGAGTTATTGTTGAAAGATGTATGTTAATTCCTGATGTTTTATTGTTTTGTGGTTTGGGGCTTGTCTTATTCCCCTACCTAACTGTTACACAAGTGTAGTTTATTTTTCCTCTGGCCCTTATGGATGTCTTCCTTTTTATTCCAAAGGACTCCTTCAGTTATCCTCCATAGAGCTGGCTTAGTGGTCATGAATGCCTTTAGCCTGTTGTTGTCATGAAAATATTTTCTTTCCCTTAAATTCTTAAAAATAGTTTTATTGCATTAATATTTTGGGGATGGTAGATGTCTTTCAGAACTTGAAAAATCATCACCTGGTTTTTAGATTTTTTTCCCTTTGTTACTGCTACTCTCACAAGCCTGCTTTTGTAGGTGATGTCTCTTGTGTTCCTTTCAATATACTTTTTTTGGTCTCTCTAGTTAGTGATTTAGCTGAAGGGAAGTTCTTTCATGTTTATTTTCTATTTGTGTTCTAAATGCTTCCTATATCTAGCTTGGCATCTCTTTTCATAACTCTGGGAATTTTTCAGCAATGATATTACTGAAAACATTTACTATACCAACGATTCTCAGATTTGGTATTATCATAGTATGATGTATATTCTGAATGTATCAGTCATACTTTTGGATGAATTCATCTGAGGCCATTTTGAAACATTCTGATTCCCCCATCTTAACTTCAAGCACAAGTACTATATCCTGCTCTTGAAACATTCTACTGTTGTCGTTCTACAGACATCTTCATTTCATTTGTATTTTTTCTTTTCCAGTATTTCAGTTTGGTTTTTCTTCTTTCATACATTATATTTACTTTATTGTTTCCTTGAACTATTTGAGTTCTTATAATTCCTTCAGTTTATTTGTCTTCCTTAATTTCTTTGAACATATTATAATCATCTTTTTGAGTCACCTAATTAAAATTTCATGTAACTAATTCTTACTAGAGCCTAATAAGCAGGTACAAGTCCCTCCCTCTACCTCAAGGCTATTCGAGGTGTTCCACCATAGGTAGTGGGCTCCAAAATGCCAGCTCTTGCATCAGGGTTTGATCTGATCTCACTGACAGGGGGCCCTCAAACAGATCAAGCTACACAACTGTCTTGCTTATGCAGAGGGTCTAGTCCAGGCCCATGGAAGCCCCCCAGCTATTTGTTCCACTAATTTGGTTTGGTTGTCTCTGTGGGTTTCCCCATCATGATCTTGATGCCCCTTGCCCATAGAATCACTCTTCTCTCTCTTCGACTGGACTCCTGGAGCTTGACCTGAGAATGAGTAATTTTTGGAGGACTAATATTGCTGTGGTTTTTCAAATTATGGCTTTCCATTTTGGGTCTTGTATATCTGAAGTTTAGCTGTTGGTTGAATTTTATTTATTTTTAAATTTCATTATGACTAACTAATTAATTTCAAATCACCCTTACTATTTCAAGGGAACTCTTCAGTCTTTACAAGTGGAACTATGTTGTTATAGGGTTGAGGTATTGTTTTCACCTGCAAGACTGCTAATGAGGACATCAAATTTGATGCTTAGTATTCCCCTGAAGTTACAGTATTGTCTGAAAAAAAACCACTATCAAAGGATAAGTTCTCAATAGCAGTCCAGTATTAGCCCAATAAAAAAGTTATTCGTTCCTATAGGCAACAATCGTTTTAAGAACTAAAGGGGCATAGATATTAGTGTGTATATCAATATATTAGGTGCTTTTGATATGAGTGGAAAGAAAAAAATTAAACAAATAGCAACAGTAACAGCAACAGCAAGAATTCAGGGTAAAAGTAGTAGTGTTTGATATTAGCTTGACTGAGGAAAAAGTGGAGGAGAAAAAAATCTGTACAAAAGGGACAAGAAGTAGGAGAAAGGAGGAGGGAACAGTCTTACTAAAGTTTAATTGAAGAAGGAGAGAACCTTGCCAGCCTATGTTCTTTGGGAAAGGAAAGTATAAAAAAGAAGACTAGGGAAGGAAGGATGAGGAGAGAGAACGAATATGAATGAAGATAAATATGGGATAGAGGGTCTGAATGCATTCTATCTAGCCTGTTTGTTACTTGCCTCCCAGAAGTCTGACTTCACTAGCCATCTTGTTATAGCTTCTATGCTTTCTTCCTGGAGCTCAGGTTATTCTGGTCAGTGGGGAGTGTTTCACAGGTGGAGGCTCAGATACTGGTCACATTTCTGAGCAGTTGCTAGGTATCAGGTTACTAATGTTGGTCTCATCTCTGAGGGGAGGTTGCTTCTATTATCTGGTGAGCTGCTTAGGACCTATACCATTCACCATCAAACTTTGGCTCCAGTTTAGTTTCTGCCTTTCTGATTTCTGACTCAAAGACTTTTCCCTATAGTCTGGCAGAATTCTCTTAGACCAAATTCAGTATGTAGCCATGTGTCATTTACTCTGAGCTTCCTCGGGGGAGGGAGGTTACAATTCACATAAGGTCACAGTGGCCATGGCACTACCTCCACAGAGGTCTTTTTTAAATAGCGTTAAGCAGCTGTTCTGGGCTGAGACTGCTTCTAACACTCCAATAACCATTTGACACTGCACAGACCCATTTGGAGGCACTGGTATGCTTTAGCACCACTACTTACCTCTCAGACCCATGAACCCCGCACACTGTGTGTCCCAGTTCCACAAGACCTGTTTCTCTGTACTGCAAACACAGGTGTTCCTTTGATACTAAATTTTGAGGGGAAAAAATGTACACAAGGAGAATTGTGTTCAGCAAAATTATCCTTCAGAAGTGCAAAAGAAATAAATCTTTCAGAGAGAGAGTGAATAGATTTGTTATCATTGGACCTACCTTATAGAAACAATTAAAGCATGTTCCAGGACCATGGATGACACCCAAAATAGCCACATCATCAAAAAACCTCACCATATTATATCCTCCATAGCCATAGAGATCAATTTTAAGTTTTTATATGGTAGACATTAACATAACCCATATAAAGAAAATATTTTGGTACTCCTCCCCAAAATGAAGTGGTCATAAGAAAAATGGACTGTTAAAGTAGAGCAAATTTTCTTTTTCTTATGCTAAGTTGAAACAGCTTTCATTTCAGTCATGGTGGTTTTGGAATGACAGTTTCTATTCTAAGGGGTAGAAAAAATGAGAAACAATGCTTCACAGAGGTATTTTTCATTCCCACTGAAAAGGGAGTCATGTTCAGACATTGCTGATTCTACTGAACACTTAATCTTCTTGGTCTAATTAAGAATAATTTTAAGACGTATGACCTGAGGAGTATTTAATTTGAGATTAAAACTTCTGCATGGGGAACAGTGATTCTCACATCTCATTAGTTAGTGAAAGTAATAACATATAAAAAGAGAAACCATATTTTTATTTTAATTTGTTTTTCATCACAGAATCAAAAGGGAGAACTGGCTCATTGCTAATATAATTGCTCCTTCTTCTTAGTCCTGATCAAATACATTTTAGCTGCACTACTCCCTCACAGTTTACTACATACTGCTTTCCATGGCCATCGCTTTTAAATCTAAGTATCCACTTCCTCTCCGGTCTGTTAATTATACAGCAGTGTTTCACAGATCAGCATATTCTTCCGACACATTTACAGCAGGTAAAACATGATGGCAGTTTCTAGTCACAATTTTGACGTTTTCCTTTGAGGGACCAGGAGCCTCTAGTTACTATTCGTAGTAGTAGTATGATATAAAGCTTCAATTTATAATAATTGATAATGTTTTATAGGGAACAGGAGCCTCTAGTTCCTATTCATAGTAGTAGTATGATATAAAGCTTCAATTTATAATAATTGATAATGTTTTATAGGGAACAGGAGCCTCTAGTTCCTATTCATAGTAGTAGTATGATATAAAGCTTCAATTTATAATAATTGATAATGTTTTATTCTGTTAAACTTTTATTTTTAAGGCTTCTCTCATCTGTATTAAAAAGTTTTAATAAGCTTTTATTATGCCCATACTCTGAGATTCTGAATGAATGAAACTTTTAAAAGTTCTGTTGACTATGGTGATAATGCATTTGGACCTTTGGAAACAATACATAGTCAAATCATTAAAGCTGTTCCAAGCACCACCTGCAAAATTAATTTTCACATTATTATAGGCGTTATTATACATTAAGTTGTCTAAGCATAGTATGGTGTTTCATTTAATAAGAAATATATTTTAATATGCTCACAATTCAGCAGGCCAGCAATGAATCTATAGTCTACTGTGGATTATTTCTGAGAGTTAACCATATTATAAATTAAACTGCTCCCTGATTATTCTCATAATCACTCCCAACAGGAAAATGAGATGTATATATGACAGAATGTTTCTAAATTAATATAGTGTGTCAAAGTTACATATAATGATGTATACTGTATTTGGTTATGTTACAGTACTTACTATAAACTGTATTTTGCTGTCCCTGTAAGGTATTGTCATTTCATTAGGGATAGAAATTCTGCCATATTCAACTAGAGTTTTCACTTTTCTTTTCTCTTTTCTTTTTTTTCTTATTGGTGGAGGGGGTGAGGCATTTTCAGCTTCAAACTTATGATCTCCCTTCACCGTTCTTCAGCCTCCAGAGTGCTGGCATTATAGATGTGTGCCAATATAATTATGATATATATATGCATGTGTACATAAATGTATGTAGTGTGTGTGTAATATATAGTACATACATATGTATATATATATATTCTCTGTGTATAATATATAATATATATATATATATATTCTGGGTTTATTGAAAGTCAGAAACTATAATATTTTCATTTCTTATCTAATTTTTATATGTGTGGGTATTTTGCCTGCATGTCTATCTACCATGAACATGTAGTTCTTGCAGAGGCCAGAAGAGGGTGTCATATCCCCTGAGACTTGGGTCCTCCAGATGAGCAGCTAGCACTATGAACTGCTGAGCCATCTCTCTAGCCTCCTAATCTTCCAGGAGCTTTCAAGTTAGTGGAAGCATAATAATGTATATAATAACTATAATATGAAGTGTGCATGGTGTAGTACTATAATCAAGGTACATTTACAAAATTGGACGTACTTTTTCCCATTAGTCATGCTTTTTTTTCTTTCTCATTAGTGCTCATAATGGATTGTTAATGATTTGCCAAATTTTAACCAGCCTCACGGTACTGTTCCCACTTTAGGTATCAACAATAAAAAATGAAGATACCAGCCTCTACTCTAATGAGTTTCAGAAAATTCTGACTGAGATGCAAGAGATTAGAAACATACAGAGCAACATGGATGCCAGATATGCACAAATGAAACAGTGGGTATTAATCTGTTCTCTAGCACCTGTTTCCAGGGTTTCAAATGTGATTACTGCAGAGTGGTGAAACTCTACTCTTACTTTACGTGAAATATTTTAGTGTGATGTCTTTTAAGTTAAAACATAACACTGAATCAAATTATTTAATTCTTGAATTGCTATTAATGAGTCAGTAGCTCAACTATAACTGAGATTTCCTAGCATAGCACTGCACAAATCAGAAGTAAAATTACCAGGATATAAGACAACAACAGAAATATGAGTACTAAGCTAGATGGAAAATTCCATTTTAACTGAAAAAGAAAACTATAAAAGGTTGGTAAATGCATACACTCTGTATTTAAATACTCTGACATACATGCCTAATGTATTTTTCTGATTCTTGCTTTAGGCTTTTTTTAAAGTTTGGCCTATAAAATAAATTATTTAAAATATTCTTCAGTGTTTTATAAGGAATCAGAGTCCATAAAACACCATGGAATGTCTCTGACAGTAAGACTTTTACCCAGGCAATAATACTACAAGGCACATTTTAACTAGCTAGATATTTGCACAGTAATACCTTTGTGGAAATATTGTAATCCATTATTTACATTAGAGGATATGTGTGGGCATGTTTTAGCAAATATTCATCAGCATTCAAACTAAAATTGAATTTTTCTGAAAATCTTTCTGTGACATGCAAATGAACCTTTAATTTCATGAGTCTATCTTTTGTATTTGTCTTAGTAAATTAAGCTTTTCATATACAGCAACAGAGAAAGGAGAGAAGGAGTGGAGAAGATAGAAGCATTTTTCATCAACATTGAAAAGAAACCAAGATTTTCATTGAAATTGAACATGAGCCAGTCCAAGTTAATTTTGGATGTCAGTCTGTTGTTGAATGTTAACCACTGTATATGTATACATCATATGGGTGATACTGTTCCAGTGAGTTCTGGCTGGTTTTATATGCAAACAAGTGAAAACACTACTCCTAAATAGTGAACAAAGGAGCCTTCTGAGGTTCCTTCTAAGCAAATATTTGTGATACTTTCCCATTGTAAAGTTTTCATTATCTTATATAATATTTAGAACTAATTCCTGGAAGAATTTAGATGCCCACAATAAAAAAATGAAGCTGTCAGAACTATATGCTGAACTCAAGAACAAAAATAACTAGTTCTTAAAAGCTGTCACTGGACCCCTTCATCTGCTCCTCTTACTTGAGATTATAATTTAATTACATGTCTCCTTTCCCTTTCCTCTTTCCAAACTCTCCCATATATTCATCCTCACTCTTTTTATTCTTTTTTATTAATTGTTATTACATGCATATATGTATATGCATCTACATAGATTCCTAAATATAACCTATTTAGTCTGTATAATGCTGATCACATTTGGACAGTCATGTTAGTGAGACTTTATGGGAGTAGTCTCTGATGTTACTAGGAGACACAATCTCACAGAAAGCTCCCAGATCCACTGGCTTTTCCCAGTCAGAATGTCAAAGATCAATAGAACAACCTACAACAAATGCTGGGAGGTGATGTGGGGAAAAGGGAACCCTCATTCACTGTTGATGGGAATACAAACTGCTGATACCACTATGGAAATCAGTGTGGAGAATTCTCAAAAATTTAAAAGTAAATCTACCATATAACCCAACTATACCACTCCATGGCATGTGCCCAAAGGACTTGACATCATATTTTACAGATACTTGCTAGGCCATGTTCATTGCAGCTCTATTCACAATAGCTAAGGAATGGACACAACCTAAATTCCTTAAAACCAACTAATGGAATGAAAATATAATACATATATACTATGGAATACTATTCGCTGTAAAGAAAAAATAAAATTATGAGCTTTTCAGGTAAATGAGTGGAACAAGAAAAGATCCCATTGAATGAGGTAACCCAGACCCAGAAAGACAAACTTCACTTGTTCTCTCATATTGGAGGCTCCTGGCTCTAAATCTTCAGATGTGGGTATGTAGCCTGTAATAACTACAGAAATCAGGAAAGTAAAACAGAACCATATCCAGCATGGGGGTGGGGAGTGGGGAGGAATATAGGGGAAATCGTAGAGTACAAGTGATCTGATCAGGGAAATGGGAAAGGAGGTTGCTCCTTAGTGGGATATGGGGAGGTAAATTCAGAAGAAAGACGGATGTGGCTAAAAAAACAACAAATATATCTGAAAAAAAAACATAAGGAATAATACTATTAACTTTTTACAACAAAAATTACCCCTATAATACACAGAATTCCGTGTGTTGTTTTAATGAACTTTTTTCATCTGTGCTGATGGTGCTCCCTCTGAGAGCTAAAGAGCACCAAACCCCAATACCAGACATGAGAAGCCCCCTTTTGAGATGTTGACCAAAGCTGTGGAAGAGACTCCCAAAATATGCAGCCTGTTGCTGTTGCTCTTGGTTACCCCCTAAAGGTGTGAAGTAAATCCCTGTTGCTGAAGATACCATGCGCTGCAAAAACAGGACCCAGAGACCTCTGAACTGTAGCTGACCTGAATACCCCTTCCCTGAGGACTAGCTTACCTGGTACAAGAAGGTGCCATACAAACTTCCAAAGGAGGGAGGCAATCAACAACCCTACCCAACAGTGGTGCCTATGAACCATATCAATGACCAAAATGGCAGGATAATCTTAAGGATGCAGTGGTGGCATGTATACTTTAGTGGTAACCAACATCTTTCTATTTGGACTTAATGGCCCATTCAACAAGGATATCATGCTGGGTATCAGAAACCTAGCTAACTCCTTAGAGCCAGTGAAATCATGGTTGTTGGAGGAGAACCCACAACAACTAATTTACTAAACCAGTGTATTCCCTACCAATCATCTATAAACATTTGCCCTTTATACACACAGATCAGTGTAGTCTCCACTCCTCATCAAGGAAACTTATCGTTGCAACAGATGGAGGCCACTACAGAAAACTACAATCAATCAAAATGCAGAGTTGTGGTGCCCAGCCCCCATGGATACATCTACAAAACACTACCATACCTAAGGCTCAGGAAACGTAGACGAGAGGACAGAAAGACTGTAAGAATAAGAAGATCAGGGAATGCACTGTGAGATTGTGTCTCCTAGTAACAGCAGACGCTATACTCAGAAAGTCTCACCAACATGACCACTCAAACATGAGCTGAACAAGGATGACACTAGTGGGCATGCCAAAGTTGATGGGGAAAAGCCCAGCAGAACTCAACCCTGCACAAAGAGCTGTAACTAACTGAGAAATCTTAGCAGCAAGAGAGGTAGTTCTCCCCATTAGAAGAACACACCAGTTGGCTATCCAGTGCCAAGTGATCAGCCTTGAAAACATACATACAAGTAACGTTTTGTGGACTCAACAGGTTATATTTGGAAATACATATATATATACAACAACAATTAATGAAAAGAAAGAGGCCATGAATTTGAAAAAGCAGGGAGAGATATATGGGAGATTTTGGAGGGAGTAAAGGGAAGAGAGAAAAGTTGTACTTAAATTACAATCTCAAAAATAAACAAAATAGAGTTAACTCTAGAATTTGGGATTGAAGGGAAAAAATCACAAAGCATAGATCTTGTCTGTTTATAGACTTGCCAAAGGCATCTTGATGTTTAACCATGTGGACAGATGATCATAAACTACTTTGTTCTGTCATAAATTGTCCTTAATATATTTTATTCTATTCTAAATATATTTTAGATTCACTACTCTTTCTCAGTATATATACACATATGTTTTCACAAATCACTGATATATAAGGAAAGAGAATAAGGATATTATTGTTTGAATCTCTAATAAGAGTAAGATTTTTAAGTATTAAAATCCAAGTTAACATGAGATTCTGTATGCAGAAAATCAAGACGTGAATTTACCTTAAGATTTTAGGAAGCCAATTTTATTTTACTGCTATAGAAGCAGAACCTAATTCTCTGTCTAAAGCAACAAGGCTTTCTTAAAAATATTGTTCTGCTCTTAGTAACTCCTGAAAAAGAGAATTAGTTAAAAGGATAAGATTTTGTATTTTATCAAGATAATGGATTTTTTTGTCTCTTGATTTTGCCAGTCATTTTGGTTATTTAAAAAATTAAGTCTTAATGAGTCAAGGTTTATTTGAGTGTCTTCATATTAGTCTGTTAAATGCCTACTTTATAAGAAGTTATTTTCTAAGGCAACCTTTGTACTTTTATTGCCCTCTACAAAGAGCTGTGTGTCTGAACGTTATCTAAATGCCATGTACATGTTGACAGAGCTAAAAGCATATAAATATATATATGCAAAGCAACCAACAAGTGCTATCTTTAAAACAATATACATTTATGTCAGAACTTTCAACATATAAATACCAAAAAGTCTTTTTTAAATTTATGCTACCTATAATCACTCATATTGAAATGAACATACTGCCATTTGAGTAGTCCTCCTATTTAAAACCTGACCCTCATCTATTTGATTTGGCTAATAAAGAATGTTTGTTGCCAGTTCCTGGCATTAGAAGGAGCCTTTGTACTCTCTGGGCCACAGGTTCTGTGTGCTGTTCTGAGGAAATGTGCCCAGATTTCACTTCAATAATGCTGATCCCTTCTTAATCACAGCTGATTTCTCAGTCCCAAATTACCAGAATCAATTGTGTCAGCAAAGCAAAGGTTTCACATCCAAAGATTTCTCGTCCAAAAAAAAAAAATCACAGGAATGGCCATGAATGTGTCTTTTCTTCTTTCTGAAACTTCACAGGCCAGACCTCCCTCCCCTGCATTACTGTCAGTGTTATCATTTAAGTAACAACAATAGGTCATTAAGCTCCAAATATTAAATGATGTTTCCAGCCCAGAGCTCCCAAATCTTTCACAATCCTCCCCCAAACAACCCAATCGGGCCTGTTACAGCAGTACTCCACAGCTGCAACAATCTGTATTAATTAGTCAGGGTTCTCTAAAGGTACAGAACTAATATATTAAAAGGAGGTATTTACTAAACTGGTTTACAAGATGCAGTCTGGGTTGTACAACAATGGCTATCTCACATTGGAGAAATGGAAACTTCAGTAGTTGACGAGGCTGAATGCCGAAGCATTTCCAATCTGGTGCTGGAGTCCTGGAGGATTACTGAAGAGCTGCTGATCATCAGTCTATGTTGGAATCCCCACCCTGCAAATGGTACTAAGTATGGTATTCTTTGCTTAACCCAATAGGAGTGAAATGATAGTCTTTACACATGAAAGTAAGGGATCAGAAAGAAGTTAAAGACAATGAATCAATTCTGGTATCCGATTCCACTCACTAATCCTGCTAACACTTTCCAGGTTTTGTGTTCATGTTTCTAATTGTAACATTACTGTTATCTTTGAACAAAGATAATTAGACATGTTCAAACATTGTGCATTTCAAGCAGTGCCTCTCTAATAATTGAAAAGTATCAGAGGGAGCATATCCATAAGCACATATATTCAACATTGTTTAGAATGCGGCTTATTCTTAAAACCCAAAACTCAATGAAAATTTGTGTATAAAAACAAGTTCAGTATTAGAAATGCAAGTTGATGGCATGTGTCTCTTATATTATTTAATAGAAGTCTAAATGTGATAGTTTTGTATAAAGCTAACTTGGAGATTTGTTTGTTCTCATATACTTCTATAAGATCTTTTCCTCCTCCAGTGATAGAAGTTAATTAAGAAGAAATTTATTGTTCTTTTTTTCTGCAGTCTATAGAGGTATTAAGGTAGGATTGTGAGAAATCTGAGTATGACATCTGAAATTCAATTGATCTCTGAAATTCAAAATATCAAGTTAATCTGAGCTTTAAAAAATAAAAAATGTATGGGTTTGGGCATACAACTTAGTGGTAAAATGATTTCTTAGCATGTGCAATGCTCTAGGTTATTATCAACATCAGTGAAAACTCATTGCTCTAAAATCTGTGTGAACTTATTAACTAGTAAAGGCAACGATTTTAAACAAAAAGGCAGTAATATTCCACTAGGATGATAATGGGTATTATTTTGGGAAGAACATAATGGATACTGTTAGTTGAGGTAATTCAATGTATTTTTGAATATTTTATCTTCAAATTTTTAAGGAACACTAATATCTTCATTTAAGTAATCTATTTATGTTTCAGGGACTATTCAGACCTATGTCTTGAAATCACAAACCTAAGGAAAAAGTACTGTGAGCAACAGCAGCTGTTAACACAGGTATAAGTTGTTTTTTTTTAAAGGAGACTTTGTTTTTATTTTCTTGGAAATATTGTTATTTGATGGCACTTTGTGCATAAATAGAAAGCACAATATAAAGTCATGTGAAAACCAAATGATTTTGCAAAGTTATATTTGTACTTTCTAGAACCTCTCACAACCTTTCTGTTTTACTATTGACTTCACTAAATATTGAGAATGGCGTCATAGTTAAAATAGTCTGTTATTTTCAGATACTCCAGTGTATCTTGGATTTGATAAGTGGAAACCATACAGGCCTAAAAAAGAGGAAAAGGTGAGTATTCTACAGAGGCCCCTTTATTCTCTTGTCTATTTCTGAACAAGTCAGAATGCATGGATTAAGTATTGCCAGCAAAGAAAAAATTACCTGCTAAGAAAAGCAAGACATATCATTACCCGCAGTAAATCCATTGTCCTAGTCAGAGTTTCATTGCTGTGAAGAAACACCATGACCACAGAAACTCTTATAACGGAAAACATTTGACTGGGACTAGCTTACAGTTTCAAAGACAGTCCATTTTCATCATGGTGATACATGACAGCATGCATAGTGCTAGAGAAGGTGTAGCTGAAGGTTTTTCTGTGCTCGCCCGCGACCAAGGACCCCACACTCAGAAGCATATATTAATTAATTAATAAAACTGTTTGGCTATTAGTTTAGGCTTTTTACTGACTAGCTCTTACATTTAACCCATAATTTTTATTTATGTTTAGCTACAAGAAGGAGCTGAGAGTCTTACATCTTGATCTGCAGGCAGCAGAAGGAAAAACTATTTGCCACACTGTACATAACCTGAGCATATAAGACCTCAAAGCCCACCTCAACAGTGACATACTTCCTCCAACAAGACCACACCTACTCCCACAAAGCCACACCTCCTAATAGTGCCACTCCCTATGGCCAAGCACTCAAACACATGAGTCTGTGGGGGCCATTCCTAGTCAAAACACCATTCCCACTATGAAAATAAAATACCTGTTAACTATCAAACATTCACTCAATCCTTCTTCCTTAAGAACCAATTGTTTTAGGAAGTAAATGTGGGAACTAATATATTAGTTATTGTATTGTGAATATGAGTAGAAATAAAAACAAGCAAGAAGTCACACTGGGACTTGTGGTTAGTATTAGGTTGCTGTGCAGGAAATAAAAGAATGGAACATGTACAGAAGGGGGAATGATAGAAGAAAAAAGAGTGAAAATGGAGGATGTGGGAGTTTTGGTTAAAGATGAAGTGAAAAAAAAAAGAATATAAATATGCACTCAAATAATGTCTCATTTCCCAGGAGGTTGAGCCCTTGAGACCATGTGAACCAAGTTAGTCTATATTCTTTGGGAGAGGCAAAAGAAGGATGCAATTGTATAAAGAAATGAGTGGGTGAGAGGAATATAATATATGAAGAGTGGTAGGCCAAGCTGGCCTGCTATATTGCCCTGAATATTATTAAAGAAGGAAAAGTGAGGGCTGAGTAAAGATCTACCTCAAAGATGGAAGTCTCAGCTTACGCTCTCACCTCACTGGAAGGCTGACAGTGGGCCTGAAGTCTCTAATTGAAGATTTATAATTGAATCTTATTATACTGTTGTGGTGTATGGTAACTGTTTTATAGTTACATATAAAGAATATTTCCTTTTTCCTGATTATATTCAGTTAAGGATTTCAGTATAGAATCATATATTCATAATTTATTTGAAGGATTTTAATCCTTACTAAGATGGATCCATTAATAAATATATCCAGACATCGTTATGGTAAATACTTACTTTGAACATAGTAAAATGTCCCAGGATTATCTGTCTTTTGCCTTCCCCAGTTCTAGGATCAGGTATAATTCAAGAAACTTTTACTCTGTACCTTATTTAGTTTCAGATTACAAGATGTACTAAAAGATTTAGACATTTTGGGAGGTGGCTAATAAACAGAGATACAATTCCAAATGACCATTGACTCTTTCAAGTGACTTAAATGTAAAGTGCCCTTTACCTTTGATACTAAGACCTATAGCACTAATTTCTAATGGGAATCATTATGTCAAAGGATGACTAAAACTTAGTTTCTATTCAACACAGCTGGTTGACCACTGCAACATTAATATACCTTAAGACATTAAATTTGTGGATCTCATTGCAGGTCATTATCATTTATACCTGGAGCTTCAGATTCTGAATGGGATCATCAGTATTTGCATATTCCAGATGACAAGAAGAAAGAAGCTGTAAGATTTTGAAGTAAAATGGTGGTGGTGGATGGCTTAAAAACAAACATTTGTTGTCAGTAAATTTTCTAATTCTAGTTCCTGTTATTTTTTATATAATTGTTAAATAATTTGAATGGGAATTGCATCAATTATGATCCAAGAAATAGTAGATACATTCAAGGAGCATAGCCAACTCTCATTTTCTCTAAACTTTTTATTTAGATGGAGATAGTAAAAGATGGTTACGAACTTGTTGAAGACAAATGTAAAAGTCTCCTTGATAGAGTTTTACCAATTTTGAAAAAATCCAAAAACTTAATTTCATCTGTAGACCAGCCAAGTGGAGATGATGGGTAAGCAGATTTGTGGGCAATATATTGGTAATGAAACATTATACTGGTGATACATTAGCAATATATTATTCATTTGTATATATTTATTATATAGTATTACTTGAATTCATTTAAATGCTTACTCCCCTTCATAAACAACAAAAATACAAAGCAGTTTTACCTGGATTTTATTATTGCAGAACAGCACAATCATAACAGAATATATATATACATACATATACATATACATATGCATATAATATACATGTATTTATTTGAAATTCATGTAAAAAATTTTTTCATTTATAAAAAAGAAATGTTAAAAGGCTTAAGACAAAGCTCATTGGTAAAGTAATTCTCACCACATGGAATTCCCTAGGTTAAATGACTTAGCACTACAAAAAATAAATCAAAGCATATTACAAATTTAATAAATGTAATAAGCATTTTTTTAAAAAAGGGGGGGCAACAAAGTTGAGATTTTTCAGGAACTATGGAGATGGTTTAGGACTAGGGAGATGGTTCAGTGGGTAAGTGCAAGTCTAAAGACCTGGGTTTGGATCCCTAGCACCCACATAAAAGCTGGGCATAGAGACCAAATTCTTTTTTTTTTTCTTTTTTTTTTTTGGTTTTTCGAGAAAGGGTTTCCCTGTGTAGCTTTGTGCCTTTTCCTGGAACTAACTCGGTAACCCAGGCTGGCCTTGAACTCACAGAGATCCGCCTGGCTCTGTCTCCCGAGTGCTGGGATTACAGGCGTGCGCCACCACCGCCCGGCAAATTCTTTTGTTTATTATTACTTTTTTTTTTTTCATTTTGAGACAGGGTTTCTCTGTGTAGCTTCTGATTCTGTCCTGGAACTCACTTTGTAACCCAGGCTGGCCTTGAACTCACAGAGATTCACCTGCCTTTGCCTCCCAAGTGCTGGGATTAAAGGCGTGCGCCACCACTGTCTGGCGAGACCAAATTCTATAACCGTAGCATTGAAAGAAAGAAATGGCTAGATCTTGCAAGCTCCCTGACCACTTAGTATTAGTCTAAATAGTGAGCTCCATGTTGAATGGAGAGACTCTACCCCCAAAAAGCAAGGCAGAGGTGTAGCTGGAGATTTTTCTCTTCAGGTCCCGCTAAACCCCGGCAGTCTGACAACCCACTTATAAAATAAACACACAGACACTTATATTATTTAAACTGTTTGGCCTAATGGCTCAGGCTTCTTGTTAACTGTTCTTATCTCTTAACCCATTTCTATAAATCTGTACCTTGCCACGTGGCTCGTGGCTTACTGGCATCTTCACATGCTGCTTGTCTCAGCCTTCCACTTCCCAGAATTCTCTTCTCTGCTTGTTCCGCCTATACTTCCTGACTGACCACTGGCCAATCAGCATTTTATTTATATAGAGTGATATCCACAGCACAGAGGAAAATAAACACATCCTATTTAGACCTCTACCCACTACAATCATATCCTTAGGTAAGCATACATGCGTATACATGCATATACCACATACTCACTGAATTGTTTTTAATTTGTATACATGCTAAAATTTTAAATATAATTACATAATTCCTCCCATCACCATCCCTCCCTTTAGCCCCTCCCACATTCCCACTCTCACTCTCAATTTATAGCCATATATATATATATATGAAAATGTATATATGAGAAAATGAATATATATATATATATATATCCATTAATATATAAATACAACCCTCTGAGTCAGTTTAGTGTTGTTTGTATGGTTTGTATGTATAGGTTTCAAGTCTGACAACTTAGTATTGTATAATCAATTCATGGACTCATCCTGGGGAAAACTAATCTTCCCACTGTCAAAAGCCATTAGGTGGCTGTTGTTCTTGTCAAAGTTGAGCCTGTGAAATTTCCTCCTTCTTTGTTAGCAAATCTATTGCTGATGATCTTATTCAGGTCTTGTTTAGGTAATCATATTGTTGATGTATAATGAGTATAGCTTCACTGTCATTTCTAGGAGACACAGTCTCGCAGAACTTTTCCTGGTCCACTGGCTCCTACTATCTTTCTGCCTTTCTTTCCCAATGTCCTTTGAACAGGTGAAGACTCTGTTTTGTAAATGTACCCATTGGGGCTGGACACCCCACACTCAGTTGTTCTTTGCATGTTGATGCTTTGTGAGTTCTTTGTAATGGTCTTCTTCTGTTGCAAAGGGAAGTTTCTTTGATGAGGGGTGAGCACTATACATATTCTGGATATTACATATTCAGTATATAGTTAGGAATTATGCTGTCTCAGTAAACTGGTGCTTATGAGGCTCTTCTTTATGATTCATGACTTCTCTAGCCTGGTAGTTGGCTAAGTTTCCAGTTCCAGGCAGGATTTCTTTACTGTTGAGCAGGCATTAAGTCCAATCAGACTCCTTTTGGTTACCACCAAAATGTGCATGCCACTATGACTTGGAGCATTTTTTGTTACATGTATACTTTTCTATGAGTTCTTTGTTAAAGTATCAGATTTTTAAACCAACATTTAATTGGATTATTTGTGAGGTTATGTGTATGCAATTCTTAAGACTGTTTTATTGATGGGAAACATTAAATTTTGTTTAAACATTTAAAACATGAAATGCTTAGACATTTGTTTAGACTTTTTGTCTGTTGGTTGATTTTTGAGACAACCATGTAGACTTGACTGTCCTGGAATTCACTATGTATATCAGGCTGTCCTAGAACTCATAGAAATCTACCTGCTTCTTCCTTTCAAGTATTTGGATTAGAGGCATGCTCCACCATACTAGTCTTGTTTAGACATTTAAAGATGCCTATTTAGCCAGGCGGTAGTGGTGCACGCCTTTAATCCCAGCACTCGGGAGGCAGAGGCAGGCAGATCTCTGTGAGTTTGGGGCCAGCCTGGTCTCCAAAGTGAGTTGCAGGAAAGGTGCAAAGCTACACAGAGAAGTCCTGCCAAAAAAAAAACCCAAAAAAATGCCTATTTAGATAAATGGAAGACCAGATGGAGTTTTACAAGTCTGGTACAGGAAGAAAAGAGTTTTATAAAAGAATGTCTAGCAAGGAGACTAGGGAAGGAGAAGCCTTCTAGTGAACATTTGGAGGCAGATATTTATAAACTACCTTAAGGCAATATCAAAAGAAAACCCAAGGGGTAGAATATTTTAGTGAGGGTGAAATATTTGAGGCAAAGGTCATTATAGCTGTGAGCATGGGAATCCTAGACCTAGGAATACAAAGGATATTAGCAAGCTGCTAAGTCACCTGCGTCTAACAAATGTGTTTAAAGGGAAAAATAATGAGAAGGTCATATTTTTATAGGAAGAATTTAGAACAATAGTCCTTGAATTAAATTTTTGTACAGAGATTATTTATTTATAGACATACATAGACACAGATAGATAGATACATAGATAGATACGTAGATACATACATAGGTAGGTAGATAAATCATCTTAAAGCCAACAGTATGAAAGCCTTCTGGATAGTGAATGTCATGTGTGCCAAATAAACAGGGATAAATATTCCTAACAGTAGGCACATCTCAAAATCAAAGTATACTAAAAAGCACTACTAAAGAAAGAAGTAAATGTATCTCAAACTTTATGGCCTCTAGAGGGCAATTAGAAAGTTCTCAAATATCTATAACTGTACAAATCCGCCTGAAAGTTGAATTGATAATTTATCTTCTTTGGTTCAATGTGTGGGTGTTCAAATATTTGAGAACTTTCTACTTGTCAATTCAGAAAAAAAATAAGGAAAATATGGTTACTAATACAATTTGATTATCCCATATGAGAATTTTTATAAAATTTATATGTATGGACATTTACCTGCATGTGTGTCTGCTCACCAGTTGTGTGCCTGGTGCCCGTAGATAACACAAGAAGGCCTTGGATTGCCTAGAAGTGGAGTTACAGACCATTGTGAACCAACATATCAGTGCTGGGAATTGAACCAGCTCTTCTGGAAGAAGAGGTTAACAGCCAGTGCTGTTAAGCAGTGATTCATCCCTCCATCCACTGATTATTACTAGAAAGAAATCACTAATCCTATGATGAAATTAACCTCTGTATAGTGATACACTCATCAGTGGCAATTTTAACTTGTAGTGTAGCTTTTGTATCTTTTCCTTGATATAAGCTTAAATATAATTTATTATATAATCATCAAAGAACTATTTTCACCTTCATATTTCCTCTTTTAAATGACATGAAAATAGTCCCCATATTTTTCCTCAATTAAAATTGAGGTGACACAGTTTAGTACTAGAATTTATTTATAAATAATATTCTATTGTCTGTAATACATTTTACTTATCTACTGACTGGTTAATTGAAACATATTAAATGTAAGTTATATGTGTGTATATGCTATATTATAAAATTTCTACATTTAAATTTTATATTTCAGCTATTTATAGTGCAGTTACTTGGCTGTTCATTGGCCATCATAATTCTTTATGAGAGTATTTTCATTACCCCAATATGATTTTTCATTCCCATTTATAAGACCTACTTTCTGTCTCTAAAATTTAAATTTGATTATTCTGGACACTTCATATCAATAATATCATACAAGTAATCTTTTGTGTTTGGTTTATTTCTCTTAGCATGTTTGTAAGGCTCATTTATGTTTCATTGATGATTAATAGTTTAATTTTTATTGCCAAATAATCATTTGATCTGTCAGTATGTTTGAGCATTGTATCATATGTTACATAAATGAAATTAAAGGAGAGCATATTGGCACTATATAAATTCTTTGATCTGAGTATTGAAAATCTCCTTATACAATGTAAATAGATATACTATAGCCCATGTGATTTGAACTCTTGAAACATGTTGAGTTAATATTTTTCTGCATTATTTTTCAGAAAAGACCCTAACATGCCAGTTCCGGATATACCTATGAATGAAGAGTCACTGACCATTCAGTTGGATTTGACCATACCATTTTTCCAAGAACAAATAACTGAAGAATGCTTTGTACAGGACCCAAAGGATTTTTCTTTGGAATTAGAGCTTTCTCCTCTGGATTCAATTTTGATTGCAGAACAATCAGACACTCTGTGTAACAGTATAATGAACAGGTATTTGGTGTCTTCCATCTTTAATTTAGATGTACATATACATGGTTTTGAAAAATTGTTTAATAGTATGCTGAGAGAAGCAAGATGTGATTAAAGCAACATTTCCCTTGGGTACCTCAATTCCTGACATTATCATTGCTTCTCATGTATTACAGATACACTCTGACGATGCATTTAGTGTTTCTCCTCTAGAATGAAAATGAGAACCCAACACTGTTATTGTAAAATACTCAATTCTATACCCAATATTAGCTCTGAAATCAGAGTGAAACTTCCTGCATGGAACAGAACTGTAAGAAAAAAGGAGAAATGTCTTCATTTCCTGAAACTTGAAGGTTGTGTATGCTTCAGCAAAAATACTACTCGATTGGAGCCACAAAGGCACTATTGTCAGCACATCTCTGTCCTGAGGATGTCTGCCTGAGTTTCACCTTCATCAGCAGTGCTTACAATTGTCTGTTTGCATGTGTTATCATTTTACTTTTGCATTATTCCTCATTACTGGCTCACATTTATTGCCCAAACTTCAGTGCAGACTCTTAGACATGTGCATAAAATAACAACTCTAGACAATAAAATAATCTATCTTTTAGGACACTGAGTCTCAACAGAACCATAGCTAACCATGACAACAACAGTATCTATTGGGATGATTATTTTGAGTTGTTTTAACATTGATGGACTTGGCCATCAGAGCTGCGTCCAAGATCTACTAGATTAAGAAAGATATAGGGCACCGAGTGGTGGTGGCACACATCTTTAATCCCAGCACTCGGGAGGCAGAGCCAGGCAGATCTCTGTGAGTTTGAGGCCAGCCTGGGCTACCAAGTGAGTTCCAGGAAAGGCGCAAAGCTAC